AAGACCTGCCGAAGGTGCCTGCGACACCACCACTGACAGCGCTTCTTGCGGGGTGTCCTGAGCTTGGCAGGCGGCGTGCACCAGCTCCTGGCGAAGTCAGAAGAGAAGTTGCCAGGACCGCCCACCACCTTTGGACCTCTGGACCTGTTGCTGTTTCTTAATCGGAAGACCGGAAAACCAGATTGCAGCGCACGGCAGTCCGTGGCCAGGTCCAGTTCCGAAGTCCCCGCCGATGTGTGACCTGACCATATCTCTGCTCCAAAGCACGGCTTGCTCACGGCAAAGGCGCGTTCCAGCAAAGACGCGCCTGAAGCTCCGCTCCGAGGGGTATCCCGTGCCTGCCGTGCTCTTCTCAGCGTCGCAGGAAGCAGCACTCTCTCCAGGCTACGCTCGGCCTCCTCTGCAGGAGGCGAAGGCTCGGTGGCGACAAGCGCCTGCATTTCCTGCATCTCCTCCTTGCAGCGGAATGGCGTGGGAGCTACACGGAGCAATGCAGCAAAAGCTGGGAATGTCGAGATCTCATTCGCTTCTCCCTGCCTGCTCGGGGGCCAGGGTGGCCACCTGTTGTCGCCAAGAACACACACAACGTGTGGGTAATGGCACGGGAGGGGATTACGGGTGGCCAGCCTCTGCGGCATCGTCCTCCACCTGGCTCTTGCTAGGAAGATCTGCCAGACCCGCCGTCAGCGAGGCAGCCAGCACATTCATTTCAGCATGCCTTGGCCGTGATCGCGCGCTTTGCGCCCTCACCCGCATCGAAAGGCAGCCGAGCTGCAGCTCGTCCTGCGACTTTGGAACGTGCTCGAGGAAAATGGTTGCCTGCCAACACGACTTCTACCAGACGACCCGCCCACACAATCCCGCACTCTCTTCGTGAGCCCGCGTGACATGCGACGTCCGCAATGCCTCCGAAGGTGGACTCGAAGTGCTTGCCGGTAACAAAGCCTCCGGCCACCGAAATTCACATCTGCTACATCCAACGGTCAGCATCACAGCGTTGGGATGGGTGCCTCCGCTTCGAGATCGCCCTCTGCCCGGTCTTCACCGGGCGAAGCATCTAAGCCGGCCGTCAGCGAAGCTGCCAGCACATCCATCTCCTGAAGCCTGGGCTTGCGTCTGCATCCACTCGCGAGAATGCATCCCTACCGGCCGTCACCCACAAACGGCAATCAAGCGGCAACTCGTCCTTCGTTTTGGGGATGTGCTCCAGCATGATGGTCACCTGCAACGAACAGTCATGCGTCTCTCGACACAGCTCCGACAAGTCACCGACTTGTAAAGCCTCGGAAGGTGGACCCGACGGTCGACTGAAGCCAGGCTCGAGTCCGTCTGTCAGCGAAGCTGCCAGGACGTCCACCTCTTCCAACCTCGGCACGGCAACAGCAGTCACTCGCCACTCGGCATTGAAACGCACCACGGCTTGCCGCCCAGTTGCAGCTCCTCCTTCGATTTCGGAAGGGGCTCGGCCGGCATGGTCGCCTGGAAAGATGATTTTCTAGTTATATACAGCGCCAGAACATCGCCGATTCCGGAGGTCCTCCAAGGAGCGAAGCATCGTCTCTGTATCGACAGACACAGTGGCCTGCGGCACCAGAGCGTTGCGGGCGGACGAGGATGGGTTCTGGGCTTTGGAGTGTCTTCCTCGGGCGACCGTGTGCACACACGCGCAAACGACGCCATACACTTGTACATGCATTATGATACATCCACATCGGTCCTTTGTGCATGTATTTATGCCCTATATATATATATATACATATATATATATATATTGCATGCAACGCGTGCAAACACATGGTTACGACGATGAATATCTCTACACACACACACACTTGTACATATACATATACACATATACACATGCCAATATATACATATATATATATATAGATGCGTGTGTATATGTAATCATACATACATACATACATACATACATACATACATACATACATACATACATACATACATACATACATACATACACACACTCATACATACTTATACATATACATATACATGTACATATACATATATATATATATACATACATACATATATACATACACACAGACACATTTTCTTTCATGCATACATGCATATATATATATATATATATGTTTCTTTTTGTATATACATGTACATACATACAAACAAACAAACAAACAAACAAACAAACAAACAAACATACATACATACATACATACATACATACACACATACATACACACATACGTATATCCATTCATTAATTCATTCATTGATTCATGCATGTATACATGTATACGTACAGAAAAGAAGAGCATCTTTGAAGTGCTAAGCAGACAGATACACACTTCAGACACGGTATAGTAGATTTCTGTAGCCACGTGTCTGCAACATTACGCAGCACTTGTACCGCATGTTGCACTAGGGCTTTTGAATATAAAGGCCAACACTACAGGTTAATTGGCAAAACATTAAATGCCGTTGAAGAAAAGGTACACGGAACAGGTGAAAATAATGAACACCACTGACAACAGTCGCAATGTGTCGCAATGGTCGCGATACTGGCAACGGCAAAAACAAGGGCAATCTCCACTATCGCCTCTAACCACGAAAACGACACAGAAGTGAATTGGCAGGAGCAAGCCCGCATCTCAGCAGACAAAAAGATGCAGAGAACAACACTGGCGGGAGCAATCTTGATCCAACATGTCACGAAGAGCGTTTTGACGGCAGGAGCAAGCCCGATCGCAGCAGACAAAAAATGCAGAGAAAAACACTGGCGGGAGCAACACGAAGAGTGGTTTTGATCCAACGTATGAACTCCTTGCCAGACAAAGACAGACAGTCATGTTGCGGGCCAGCATCAGCAGCATTAGATGAGGCATGTTTTTCCTTTGGACGCTTACCCAAAAGGACCGAAATCTGGCCAAAACAGGCCCCTTTGGCAACGGGGTTTTGTCCGGCTAAGCTCCCTCACGAGGAGCTTTCGTGACAATACTGTAGCTGTTAACAGCTTTAGATTAAAACTGTTAACAGTCGACTGTTTTCTCAGCAGCAGCAGCAGCAGTTGCAGTACTTGCAACCAGAAGTACAAGCGCCTGGGACACCACCACAGATATGGCTTCTTGCGGCGTGTCGTGAGCTTGGCAGGCGGCATGCACCAGCTCCTCGCAAAGTCCGAAAATAAGTTGCAGTGCAAAACCAGATTTCAACTCACGGCAGTCCGTGGCCAGGTCCAATTCCGAAGTCCCGGCAGACGTGTGACCTGCCCATGTGAGTCCAGCACAGCTTACTCACAGCTTCCTGAGCAAAGGGGTGTTCGAGCAAAGACGCGCCTGAAGCTCCGCTCCGAGGGGTATCCTGCGTCATGGATGCTCTTGGAGTCAGCGCCTTCCCCGCGCTACGCTCAGCCTCCTCTGCAGGAGGCGAAGGCTCGGTGGCAACGAGCGCCTGCATTTCCTGCATCTCCTCCTGCCGGGGAAGTGCTTGGCAGCGAGACAAAGAAATCGTATGTTACCAGGACAATCCCACAACCTCACTCGCTTCTCCCGCTTCTCCCTGCCTGCTCCGGAGCCAGTGTGGCCACCTGCTGCTACAGTCGCCATCTCGGCTGCCCAGATCGCTATGCACCGCAAGGAACTCGTCCAACCGAAACTTAAGCAATGCACTTGCCTCTGTTGCGACATCGCCGTCCTTTGCGGGGATCTCAAGACCCGCCGTCAGTGAGGCCGCTAGCACGTCCATCTCTTGATGCCTGAGCTTTGATGAATTGAAAGAGACGGTGGGCAAGCTAATCTCTGGTGCAGGAGCACCGAAAGCACTGCACCGTCTCCCACTCAGGCCTGCAGACGAGCTGCAGCTCGTCTTTCGTCTTGGGGCATTGCTCTGGCGCGACAGTTGCCTGCGGATGCTAGAGCGACACGCGGAGTAGTCGACAACCGGACCCCAGACCGCAACAACGACACTTTCAATGGTGATGCCTCGGAAGGTGGGTCAGAAGATGGCACCGGGGCCTCTGTTCAGATGACTAGCTCAAACGCCCTTGAATTTCTATGGCAGTAGGCATTGAAAGTTGTTGTGGGTCAAAAGGCCTGAGGGCTTAGGAGTGCGGGGCGGTCAAGAGCTTCAGGGCTGGGGGTAAAACGATCTTGGCAGTTTTGCTTGGCTCGGGCAGCAGATGCAGTGCTCTTACTCCGAGTACGATAAGGGATACACATGCACACTCTTCGCAGGCTTGCATCTTCATATCAACAGCATTGAAATCACGTGTCTTGATGCACTCCAATGTCATATCCAATGGGTCAAGAGCGTTTATAAGACTACTGTGAACGGAACAAGCGATCTCGGTTTCGTGGCAGATCAACTGCCCGAACCTTTGAGGAGGAATTGGCTGCAGTCCAAGTCCAAGATCGACAATCCGACTTTTGCTTTTGAATGGATCCCGACTACTTCCCCTCCAACGTGTAACACTTTGTGGCTGATCGGACAGGACATGTTTCCAGATAGGAAACTCAGAAGAAATACCTCAACCGTGACCTGCTGCTAACATCTCAAACCCGTATCGCTGATTGAATCAAAGACCTGTGGTGTTTTCAGAATCAGTGTTGGCTCGGCAAATTCATGCGGATTCCGCATAAGGCTGCAACCTCAGCTGCCGCCACCGGCATGTCCTGAATCTCACTACGGGTTTGACTTGGTTGGAGGCTCAGGGGATTTAGTAGGTAAGGTTATAAGCCCTATGTACCTTAACTGGATTACAGGAACTTGCAAGTACCCAACATGCTAAGCCTTCTGATCCTTCAAGTATCGAGGATGTTTCCGACAACTCGGGTCGCGAGCTTTCTCGTGCATGTCACAGCTTGTGGCACGAGGCTGTGAGCAGAGTTGCCGGACAGCGTAGCGTCTTTGCTGCCAAGCATCGAACACAGGCGGTTCGAGCAAGACAATGCTCTTCCGAGTCACTGAATCTGTCACGCAGATTGTGAAAGTAGCTTGCTCTGCCTTGGTATCGCTGAGCTTAACAAACTCTTCCTTACACAAGAAGCGGATGACAGAAACCGAGACCATTTGAATCGCGATCTTCACATCCAAGAGTACGATGACAGCAATGACCCCAAACAGTGAAAGACCCCCTGGTATCCCCCGCAAGAACCGCCCCCTGAGGCTCTCATAACTATCCTATGAGTCCAAACACTCTGTGACACTGCGGGAGCATAAATTACCAGCTTCGAAAGCCTTGTTGGATCTTCGGAGAGCCCCCAAGAAGGCGAAGAGAAGGCAATCATGGACTCATGAACACGGGACTGTGGGACCATGGCGGGAGCACGACTTTTCCCCCAACCCCCCAAGCATGCGCAAACAACACATCACGGCGGGATTGGGGGCCGATTCTTCAAGCCGAACACCGAAGCAGTGGACTTTTCAATGTTTAATCCCCGCTGTCCTCAACATAAGCCCATAGTCTCTATAGTATTGCCACAATTTCTGCGGAAACAATGAGACCGTCAGGTTGCAAGCTCGTCCGCGGCAGAATCATGTTCGTCTTCTTGCTCCTCCTGTGCCATCGTGACATACTGCAAAGATGCTCGATGGATGCTACAAAGACGTAATTACTGTGAAGGAATGTCTCGTTAAGTTCACGAATAAGCCCTGATTAGCTCATGCCCTTCACTACTTCTTACTCCGACAAACTATGCGAAAATCATTCCGCCTAAGATCCTGCCTGCAGCTCCGCAAGTAAGGCATCGAAGCGGTTTGGGGTCGTTTCTTCTCTGACGTCTTCTCCAGCCTGTCCAGGCTGGATTGAAGAGGGCTATCGCCATCCCTTAATTAAGGAATATACCTTAAATTACAGGGGCCTTAATATTACGATTTAAGGTATATTCCTTAATTAAGGGGTATTGGGTTCTCTGGGAAGGAGGACGACGAGCTCTTCTAAGCGGAGATTAGGCAGCGCTGGCCTCAGTTCTCGGTGAGGAAACTTTCTACAAAAACCTTTACCGTAAGAGTCATCTCCTCAGAGAAAGGGTCGGGCAACTCGGACGAATGCCCTTTGAAAGGAAGGCGACGCCTCAAGCTTCATAGCAGCTTCGTTTCAACTTGTGATGCTTCAGGTGATTCTCTTGTCATACGACTCACGAGCTGCTTGCGCTGGTCAGTGTCTTGTCCAGGCAACTCGACTCATAACACCGGGGCCTCTCGCTGCAACTCATCTCCAACATGTGGTTCAGTAGCTGTTCGACTGAACTCAGCGACTCGTTGTATTTCTGTCGCGCAGCCTCCGGCTCCATGGTGTGCAAGACATCGAAGCCGTTCTCCGCGTTTTCTTCTCTGATGCTTTCTCTGGGTTCTGAAGCTCTGGTTATAGGTTCGCTTCCGGTTTCATGCGGCCCCACTTGACAAAGCAACTTGTTTGACATGCAGCCCCAAAGCCTTCCTCTTCCCTAATCTCTGTTGCGCTGCCTCCGGCTCCGCCGTGTGCGGGACATCTAAGCCGTTCTCGACCTTGTCCTCTCTGATGCTTTCTCTGGCAGCCTGTGTGCATCTTAGGTTCATAAACCTCTGTAGATGCCTTTCTCGTGGCATGCAGCCTCACTGAACAACGTCCCCATGCAAAGCGACTCGTCGTTATGTTTCTTTCGCACTGCCTGCGGCTCCGCCGCTCCCTCCGGCTCCGCCGTGGGCAGGACGTCCAAGCCGTTCTCAGCCTTGTCCTCTCTGCTGCTTTCTCTGGCCTGTCAATGCGGATGCATTTTGGGTTCATGAAGCTGCCTATTGTATAAGCTTCGTGCCACGCCGCCCCGCTTGACCAAGCAACTTCCGAAACCGCGCTGTGCAACATGTAGCCGCCCTCCCTCCCTCCTAGAGGCCCAATGTTCAAAGCGACGCGTTGCAAGTCTGTCGCGCTGCCTCCGGCTCCGCCGTGTGCGAGGCGTCTAATAAGCCGTTCTGAGCCGCTTCTTCTCTGATGCCTTCTCTGGCCTGATAGCAGATGTGCTCAGGTCCATACAGCTGTTTAGATTCGTGGCCGTGTCGTGCAGCCTCATGTCAGGGTGCTTTCACAAAGCAACATGTAGCCCCCCACAACTTCCCTCCATTTCCCTCCTTCCCATGTGCCAAACGACTCGTTGCAATTTTGTCGCGCCGCCTCCGGCTCCGTGTGCGAGGCGTCTAAGCCGTTTTCCATTTCTTCTCTGAGACTTCCTCTGGCCTGCCGCGTGATGTGGCTTGCAACATGGGATGCTTCTTAGCTGTATCCCCTTTCCTCGAGTTCCATCGAGGCTGGCTTAGTTGTTTTGAGCACCCCTTCTTCAGCAAGCTACCGGCGACATCTGCTGCCTCTTACGACCCTCCTGATCAAGACAAACAGAACACAGACAAACGAAAAACTCTAAGGACCACGCCTCAGAGGCGACCACCGACCTGAGCCATCTTCACCAGAAAGCAGCGAAAGAGTCGCTGAGTCAGGGCTTGTCTGTAGGAGTCTACAGTCAGCCCAATCAAAGGTCAGCATTCAGCTTTACCTGGCCTGGCAGTGGAGGGCTCGCTTGGGACTGCAGACCGTGCAAGGAGCTCGGTGGCAATGTACTGCCTGCCGAAAGAAGAACGAGCAAAGATGTAGATGACTTCGATCCGACCCCACTTCAACTACCCGGCTACACTACGATGACGCCCCAATTCCAGGGCCACGCCAACACCCCTTTTGTTTCTCCTCAGCTGCGCACCCGACCAGCTTCGAGGACCTTGAGGAGCCACGAGAGCTCGACTCGGACAGGTCCTGAAAAGGCGGGCGGTGAAATAGGTCCGGGGTCTTTGAATCGAGTTCGGACATGTTTCATGCGTGACAACCACTCAAAAGAAGCCGTCAGCCTGGCAGACCGCAAAACCTCGATGGCCAAGTTGCAGACACCATGGGTCCTCGTCCATGTTCCCCTCCAGTGCCACAGCGACCACAGCCACAGAACCCACAGTAGAGCCGAACTCCTGATTTGGAGCTTCGTGGCTGCATGCAATTTGGCCGCAAAGCGACCGTGGCAGACCCCTCCTTGGAGAACATCTCAGCTGCTAAGGAACTGCTGCAGTCAGAAATCACCTGGCGCAGGTAGAGACCGATTTCCGGGCAAATGGTCACAGTTTCTCAGCAGATAGCAACGACTACGACATAGCGGAGAAAGGCTGGACAAGAACACGGTCCGGCAGCTTGCAGAAACATGGCAGGTTGGCCACAGACATGTCCGGTGTGGACGGGACCTGCAAAAAAAACTTCAGAACCCTCAAGTGTAGCGAAAATTGCCTCCCGTGTCATCTGGCTGTGCTTCTGGTCTGCGCACCATGAGCGTGGGTTCCGCGCAGAGTCTGTGACAAAAGAACGCTTCTGTGTAAGATCTTTACAAGTCGGGGCATACCTGTGCTTCCGACAGGCAAGCCTCGTTTATCGGAATTGGGCCTCAACCCATCTGTACAGATCTTAAGAGCTTCTGCTGCTTGGGCTGCAACTTGCATCCGTGTCGCTGGACTCGCTTCCCTGCACTTCCTTCTCAAAGCGGAGCCATCCGGAGAGTCTCACCATGAGGAGCATGACAGGAATTTCGATGAGCGGACCCAAGACGGTCGCGATGGCCTGGTTGGAGCTCGTGCCAAAAATCGCCGTGCAACTGGCGAGCGCGAGCTCGAAGTTGTTGCTGGCGCCGGTAAAGGCTAAGGTCACCGTCTCAGCGAAGCCCAGCTTCAAAACCCTGGAGCAGGCCCAAGACAAACCAAACATCATGCTGAAATACAGCAGAAGCGGGATGACTGCAAACAGCACGTCCACTATGCTCACCTGGTCTGGACACCCTTCTCAAATTTTCCCAAGCTGATGCAGTTCTGCGGAAACAGGAACGTGATCACCAGACGTGGTGCACAGGGCAGACAGACAAACAACAGCCGAGAACATCACAAGCTGAGTGCTGCCTGGCGGCTTGGCCGTTGAGAAGCGGCTTGGCCATCTCGCAGAACATCAAAAAGACGACCACAAGCAAGGACACGAGGCCGACTGGAGCGAAGTGCGGCAAGAATCGCTTCCAGTACCACTCCCTGCCGTGGCCGCATGACCACATGAAGATCCCGATGGCCAGGGGGATACCCAAGTAGATTGCCACGTTGATGAAGACAGTCATGAAGCTCACGTTCCCCTCGATGTCAATGCCGGCAGCTTGCCCGACTGCTGCGAGCAATGTAACAATCGGCGCATAGCCGACGATTGTGATCAAAGAGTTCAGGAGCACCAAGGAGACGCAGAGAAAGCTGTCGCCGTCGGCCAAAGACGTCCAAACCAGCACCATGGCGATGCACCGAGCGGCACCGATGAAGACAACTCCTTGCAGCAAGTCCGGGTGCTGCGAGAGGGTCAGCATGCCGAGGCCTAACATCAAGAAAGGACCCACAATCCAGTTCATGACCAGACTCAGAACTGCGATGCGTTTCGGAATTCGGCGAACTGCCGAGGAAAACTCGTTGTACTTCACGGCTGCAAAGGGAGGCAGCAGCATGGCGATCATCCCGATGGCCGACAGCAGATTTGTGTTCCCGACTTTCAGCGCCTCGATCTTCTTGTCCAGGCTTGTGTAGTAGCCAAGCAGGACACCGGCACCGGCGGCGAGGAGGATCCAAACAGTCAGGAACCTCTCCAAACCCAGTTTGGCCTTAGGCTGCTGGCGAAGCACTGCTTCGGGACAGCAGAGAAACTCCTCCCCCCACGTCACTCGAGGGCAGACACAGACCTCAGAGGTGTCTTTGACGTCAATCAGCTCTTGCAACTTCGCCTCTGACTGTTCGGGCAGGCGGCGACCATCAATGCACAGGCTGGATGTCTCGGGATTCACGTTCAGGGCCTGCTGAACCTGCTCGACGGTCTGCCCGGCACGCAGTCCAAGGGACTGCATGGTGCCCCGAGTGCAGTCCTGTGCGCAATTCGCATCACGCGCCTCAGTCGCGGGTGTCGACATGCCGCTTCGAACAGACCAAGCTATCCACACCGGACCTTTGTTTGCAACTACTTAAGCCTGATAGGGTTGCAGGTCGCGATCCACTCTGCGCATGTGCAAACGATGGGGACAGTGGCTACTGTAATTCCCAGTTTTTCCCAGGCGTCGCGCTCCCTTTCCAGCCAGTCCGAAAAAGCAGCGCCACAAGGTGCTGTAACAGTCAGTCCGCTTCAGACTGGGGCGTGCACTGCAAGGGATGTACAGCATCTGTACAGCAGGCTGCAAACCACACACGACATCAGACGATGGGAAGAGTCTGCCGGAAGTGCGAAAAGATATCTTAGACTTTGTGTTGAAGAGAAACGCACCTGAATTATTACGTCTCCTGAACCAGCATGCGCTCGAGGAAAAGCTTGTTCAGAGTCGGGGGAAGGTCCTCATCTGAAAGGCCTGCCACACCTGACTGAGAAGACTTGCATGTGCAACTTTGAGGCCACGAGAAACGTGGAGTTGCTTGCACTCTTGTGCTCGGTGGATGGGATCGTGAAGATTTGGCTGATTTGGCCCATGACGCCCCGCCTGCACCATGGTCGAAGAGCACACGACAGACCTGATAGATATCGGCGGTCTTTCGTAGAACCGATAGTTGAATGATGGCCGTGCTAAATCGTAAATTGGGTAAAGTCTAGGTCGATGCCTAGCCATCTGACTCCAAATGGCCTCTTCCTGCTTCGCCTCTGCAGCGAGAACCAGCGGTGTGCGGTCGTCCAAGTCCAAGGCCTCGCTGCGAATCCCCCTTTAGACACAGCCTTCTTGCGGTCCCGAATCGGACTCTTTTGGTTAGAGGCGATGTATTAATCAGCAATCTACAACGACTGACAAAGTACCGCAACGCATCTTGCTTCATCTTGTGTCTTACTTCATGGATATCAAGATATCGTGTAATGGTGGTGATGATGAGGATGAGGCTGAGGCTGAGGCTGAGGCTGAGGCTGAGGCTGAGGCTGAGGCTGAGGATGAGGATGAGGATGAGGATGAGGATGAGGATGAGGATGAGGATGAGGATGAGGATGATGATGATGATGAGGAGGAGGATGATGATGATGAGGATGATGATGCTGATGATGGCGATGGTGATGGTGATGATGATGATGCTGATGATGATGATGATGACGAGGATGATGACGATGAGGATGAGGATGAGGCTGAGGCTGAGGCTGAGGCTGAGGCTGAGGCTGAGGATGAGGATGAGGATGAGGATGATGATGATGAGGAGGAGGATGATGATGAGGAGGAGGATGAGGATGATGATGATGATGATGATGATGATGGCGATGGTGATGGTGATGATGATGATGCTGATGATGATGATGATGATGATGATGATGACGAGGATGATGACGATGAGGATGAGGATGAGGATGAGGATGAGGATGAGGATGAGGATGAGGATGAGGATGAGGATGAGGATGAGGATGAGGATGAGGATGATGATGATGATGCTGATGCTGATGATGATGATGCTGATGATGATGATGATGATGATGATGATGCTGATGATGATGATGTCTTCAAGTTCAGTGCTTAGGCCCGTATTCAGAACGCTTTCTTGCAGGCGCTCCACAAGGCAATACTTCTCGGACATCGAGAAAAAGGACAACTTGTACACTGGATACTGTTGTAATGGGGTCAGACAAGCTTGATTTTCACATCCGATTTGCGGGTTACGGACTCACCGTAGGCTGAAAACTGAGGCTTCACGAGGCCGACAACACCTCCTAGGATCCCTCAGGCCCGTTTCTTGCTGCACTGTCTCCACTTGCGCTCACCACCGCTCACAATGATGGCCAGCATTTCGTCCCTTTGACGTGCCAAGCAGGATATCAGGAATTACAATGTGTTGTAGTTTGCTGTTGTAGGACCGGGCAACTCAAATTGAATCAACAGCAAGCTACAACACATTGCAATTACTGATATCTTGTTTGGCACGTCTGAGTACCAGAACAGGTCCAGGCCTTCTAGGTTTATCCCACTGGCGTTCGAGACAGGCGACAATGCAGGGACGATGGAAGTGACGGTGTAAACGCTGACCGTCAGAATCATAGCGATGACAGCAGCTGACAGCAACGGATGCTGATGGACTATTTGGGGATGTTTCATCTGCCTCGGAGTTGGCACCAGCTGCCAGAAACCGCGCGACACAGTCTGCATGGCCTGAGAATGCCGGAAGCTCACTGACGGCTGTCTAGGATCAGAACCCACTTCGGTTCATGGTTAAAGTTAAACAAGTGCGCGTCTGCAACAGCAGCCTCTCTGGGCTTAAGCATGGGAGGGAGGCCTGGCCTTTACGGGCAGCAATGTGGAGCGGGGTCTCCTCCCAGGCCTTCACCGAGGCTTCAGGGCCGCTTCAGGGCTGTAAGGCATGTCCGCCCAGCCTCCTTAGCCTCGAGGTCGAGGCCCCCCTTCAGGAGCCTCTCCACCTCGAGGGTAGCTTCGGCTACATCTTATAGGACTAGGACCCTAAACCCTAAACCCTAAACCCTAAACTATAGAGGAACCCCCACCTCTGTCACGCTGCCCTCGTCGGCAGCTCGGTGTAGTGCGGTGCAGCCGAATTCGTCCACGAGCAGGTCCGAAGCTGAAGCCGCTTCCGCCGCCTCCGGAACCGAGGTCGGAGCCTCGCAGGAGAGAACTCAGGTGACTCTGATATTATCTATCATATATTATATACTATATATTATGTACTATATTATATACTATATATTATGACATGTACTATATTGTGATTTTCTGCCCCATGGCCAGGAATCCCCTCGCTGCTTCGTGGCGTGGTGCCAGGATGTGCTAAGGTTCGCCACACTTGAGTGCTACGACACCTCCAGCCTTGTCCCCCGACCTCGCGCGAAGCTGCACGGAAGCAAGGAAGGCGGCGAGGAACGCCACAACCAGAGCGGGGACGTCCAAGAACGTTTCCACCTCACTTGACTTCCCCCGTCCACCTAAACCCCTCCTCCCCCCCGCGGCAGACGTTACGCAAATCGAGGACAGCACGAGGTTGCGGAGCTCACAAGGCGCGCTCTTCTCTCCGGCATCCTGCATAAGTGCTGCAACTCTCCAACTTCGCAGTCAAGGCACTGGCACACCAGGCTCAACAGGTCATGCAATCAAAGCTCTCCATCTTGGTTCATGCATTCCTAAAAGAAATCTGAGTCGAGGCACGGCAATCGTCTCGCCCTCAAAAGTCAATTCACAGTCCTCCCAGGCCACACTGCGGATCCGCAAAATAGTCTGATCGATGACTTAGCATTGCTTGACATCCCATATCAGAGTCGCGAGCGCCTGCGAGCATTGCTCCACTTCTCCATCCGGGCCTGCGCCTGAGCCATCGTCTTTTGAGGCTCTTCCACGCCGACAAGGCAACTTCTCCCACGCCTGTCTCACTCAAGAGAAGGGATTCCAGCTCTTCGCCTCAAGCACCCATCGCTTCTCTCATATATCAACCTCAGAACACCAGCCTCACCACCCAGCCTTCGAAGTGGCCGCTGTCCACAAATTTAGTGTGCATCGGCACGACATGTCCTGTCAAGACCGACACAAGACTTCCAAGACAAGAGGATGCCCTTCCGAGTTTCTGAGGATATGCAACTCTCCTGTCTGTATGAGCGCAGTAGTCTTCGATGTCGCCGAAATTTCGGAACTCGCGCAGCCTGCGGTTGTGAGGATGCAGTCGAAAGGCACACCAGGAATTGAGGATCGTTGCAGCCAGGCTGCTTCCTGGCCACACCAGCACCAGAAGCATCGGGGTCAACATCGGCATCATGGTCTTGGGACGGTCGGTCGTAGTAGGTCGCAGACACCTTGACAACAGAAGACCGGGATTGCATCACCTCATGCTTGCAAAGGCTATTTCGGCCGGAGACCAAAATGCAGCTTAGAAACGAAGTCCCTCAGCAAAGGTCCGTTGTCGGATATAGCGGAAGACCCACACAGGGCTCGAATAAGGTGACGAAGCTTGAGCAAGTATACGCGATGTGTGCGGCAATGGCATGCAACCATATCCAGCTGCGCACGAGAGCCATCGTGAGCACATGGACTACAGCTCGATAATGGGACTCATAAGTAGAAACCAGACTTGCACTTGCAGCTTGGGCCCACCTCTTGCTCGTGCAGCGCTTCAAGTCCTGTGTCAAGAAGCGATCTCAGCCATCCCAGCTCTGGCTGATAGAGCTCAAAAACTCTGAAATAGAAGTACTCAGTTCCGAAGCAAATGCACACCGACGAGACAAAGCCTACTCTTCTCGGTCCTGACATCTCCACCCTCGGAGAGGGTCACAAGGCAGGACACTCCGATGCCGCAAGGGCTGCTGAGGCTTCTCAAATTCACTCGCCAAAACTATCTGTAACCACACGCGAAGCTGAGATCTGACATCTTTGATAGGTGTCTTGTAGCATGCAGCTCCATTCTTTCTATCTCAAGATGCACGCAAAAAGCGCACATCCTTGTGTTCTGAGTGCCTGCCTCGCTCAGCCTTCGGCAAAGCGCAAAAGCTCACATGGCGAGATGGGAGATGGCCTTCCAGTTCGGCATGGGCTTTTCGGACTTGTGCTCCTTGATCTGTGCCAAGCTTAGTGCTAGTGGAAGGACAAAGACGGAGACTACAAGCGAGGTGATGCCGATGGGTAGGACTAGGAACAACGCAAAGGCGCCGAAAATCATCAAGCCGCCCAGAGCAAAGAAGAAGAAAACGCCGGCGCAGTTCCCAAGATTCTTTGGCGAGATCGTACCACCATAGGGTGTTGCGTGGCAATCCTTCCCAAAAACATGTATGCTGATGTACCAGAACGCAGCGGTCAAGAGGCAGAAAATGATGCAAAAGAAAAAGCTAGCAATGATGAGGTCCGCGATGGTCGCTTTATCAGAGTCCTCTGCTGCAAAGTCTGATGCTCCGGTCTCCAGAAAACTGATGCGATCCGAGCCCAAGGCACGAACCAAACGGTCAGATTTGACCTGAATCAAGCCGTCGGGAGTCTGTGCCCGTCGAGTTGGACAAGATGTTCACCCCCTCTTCAGCAGCCTGAAATAGCCTGAATTGCACTCTGGACATCCATGCTCGGTTCCTTGACGAGATAGTCTCGGCAGGGCGTTGGGATTCCGTGAGCGTCGCCCCGCAAGTCGGCAGGGTCGTAGCCGGGAACACTCAAGAAGAAGTAGTTCACAAATGTGCCCAGTTGTTCTGGTGCTTCTTCACTGAGGCTACACTTATCATTGGTCTCTTGCTTCAGGAACTTGATCAGCATATTTGGGCGCTTCTTGATGAAGTCTGCCAAGGTATTGTGCAGCTTCGCCGGCA